ACACCCTGTATAAATTTATAAAAAATCTTAAAATATGAAAAACAACAAAATAAAATATACGTGTTTAAGAGTTTTCCGAAAAACTCAACGGTTTTTAAATAAAAAATGTTCTTATATTTGAGGGGTGGTTTCACCCCCTTAGAATTCGAATTTCGAAAAATCCCTTCTTATCGAACCTCAACCATCGAACCAGTCAATCCATTTTCCAAAAATCAGCTTTTTACGTCAAGCGCTTTAAGCAGGATCGTGATTAATCAATGACCAGATTTTTTCGAAACACCCTGTGTACATTTTTAAAAAATCTTAAAATATGTAAAAAAACAAAATAAAATATACGTGTTTAAGCGTTTTTTCGGAAACTTGACCGTTTTTTAAATAAAAAATATTGTAATATTTGAGGGGTGGTTTCACCCTCTTGGAACTGGAATTTCGAAAAATCCCATTTGCCAAAAAATGCCAAAATTGAGCTTCTTACGTTGAGTGGTTTGAGCAAGATCGTGATTAATCAGTATGTCAGACTAAGTCTATATTTTTGACTTAAATCATGATAATCTGCAAGTTAAGTCAGTAAAATGACTTAAATCGGTATTATTAATTACCCTCAAGACTTGAAAATTTAAATCTTAAGAGTACCAGTAGTACTTTACCAGTAGTTCATTTATTTAAGATAAAATTATTAAAAATTGTGAACTAATTCTGATAAAAACGATGGCCCTTTTAAGCCAAGTGTTTGGTATTTAATCATACCCTCCTTTCGAGTAGGCAGCCAGTCTAGGCACCTGTATTAGCTTGAAAGGGCAGTAGAGCACATCAAACGCACCAAACTGATTAATGATGTTTTAAGTCAAGTCTTTTTAAAACGTCAGGGTGGACATGTTCACAATTAATCTAAGACATTTTATGAAACAGATTTAGGTGGTTTAACACAAACAGTCCATTTAAACTGGAGAAGAATAAGACTGAAGATAAATGAACGACTGCTCCTAACTACCACAGCCCGATGTAAACTGTTATCTATTTCTAAACTACATTAAAAAAAATCGTGAAAACCTCCTTCCAGCCGAATAAAATCAACGAGTTTATTAAGATTTCCCAATTTCTATGTCGTTCATTCAACTGCTTTAATATTTTAATTTATTTGCGTGCGGTAACAGCCTTGGTGGTAACCCTGATAGAACTTGTACCCAAGCGGTAATTTTTGCATCCTTTTGATATTAGAGGAGACGTGATAAATCTCACATCACATTAAAAATAAATAAAAACCACATTCGGGATCTTCAAATATTCCTTAATAAATAAACCCTAATCATAGCTGTTTTATAATGTTCAATCTACATTATTCAAGCTTTCAGAAATGAAAAGAAAGTAAACATTATTTCATTCAACCTAATAATTCAGCGCGATTCAGACGGTAGGCTATATTTTTGTTCTAACTAGAGACTAGAGTCAGGTTCGTCAGCGTAAGAACTATAAATAAAAAAAAACATAAAATACTATAAAATATGTCGGCCGCATAATGTAAATAGGACGTTTAAATAAAAGAAATATGTAGAACTAACAGTTACTGACATCAAACGAAAAAAAACTCATCATGTTCATCGAGTGGATTAGTCTTAACAGATCGCCAGATACAAACTTTGAAGAAATAATACGGTTAGGTACATATACAGGGTATCTTACAAAAACCAAGCCTTCATTAATCAGGTATAGGCTTGTTCTGAGTACTATTTTAGTAGCTAAACACGGTTTAAACTTGATTAAAGGAAATCTATTGTAGTTTTAACGTGGATTATGTTACATCCTATTACAGTATATCGTAAGTGACCCTGTATAAAGCTAAGCCGATTGCTGTCGAACAAGAAAAATGCATTTAAGTGTTCACGTTCGTTGTCTTTATATAAGTATCTGCACATGTGATAGCTTAAACAGAAGCTAATTATGAATTGGTCACTACTTTAACTCGATTCCGATTTTAATGAATTTATCTCGAACGTCGGCTTTGTATCTACCGGTATTAGCGTTTGCCCTAATTGGAGCTAATCAAATTAAATCAATACTTAAGTAACTTTAATATAAGAAACACCGAACATATTAGCTTTGAAAAAAGATATATAATTTTTGGATAAATTGGATAAAAAATTAAGCAGCGAGTAAAGAGGAAATAGAGGCCATCATTTAACACATTATATCAAGATTGTTGTGCATGTAACTCTAGATGAATGATGGAAAGTGTTGTTACCTCTCCTACGTATTGAAATTCGATCAGCTAAACAATTTGTTAGTTTTCATTACAGTATTTCAATAACATTTTTAGATTCATCTAATATATTATTTCTTTCCTTGGGTCATAATTCGTGATAGTTTAGATTAAATTATCTTTGAGATATTGGCTGGTCACTATATTTCTGGACCTACTATACCGCATTCTATGTTAAGCCTATAGAGACATGCCAAAGATACTACTCCACTATCCGCGTAGCTATGTGCTTATTTTAGCACCTGAGTCCATAGTGACGTCATTCTGTGTATATGCTAAACAATTATTTACTGCTTTACATTTGAGAAGAGCCGAAACAAAAAATCCTAAGCCCTTTTAGCTCATTTTTTATAAATATATATAGGCTTTATAAAAAAATAGATTATCTGTTACGTAAATGGACTGGATGGAACAAATTTTATAAAATTAAATTTTTCGTAGATCAGAAAAAAATATATAAAAATTATAATAATTTAGAATAAAATGATTTCATACTGTATCTATATTCTCTTACTGATAAAAAATACTTATTCTGTTTGAAAATGTAATGATGATGAAATAGTTGTAGGTGTGAAGATTTAAGTATCATAATTTATGGTAACATGTTTACAGAAAATTACGTTAATAGATGTAATTAAATAATAGTAGAAAGAGAGCTTGTATTTGTACTTTTTTCTAGAGGTTAAGTCAACAATTTATGTAATATACTTAATAATTAAGTAAAATTTGAGTTTTCACTCAAAATTGATGATTTTAATATGATGATGTAAAGATAATGTAAATATCATATTACGTAAAGTGTTGAGGAAATAATAATATAAAATATTTGTCTTTATCAGCTTTAACAGCTATGATAAAATATGGTTGTGTATACTTGAGGCAATATCTGGACAGTTCAAAATTTGAATGCGATTTCCGATGTTTCCAACCCGGTATATATTTTCAATAAGATTCGGTTAAGAACCATTGAACTATTTCAAAAAACGAATACTACTATAATACCCGGAATTACGTGAAGAATTTAATTATTATTTTTAATAGTTTGTTAGTTATTAATAACTGGTAGTGCTAAAAATGTTAAAGTGGTTACAGATGTTTGCAAGACGGCCGATACTAATTTTTAATTATTTAGATGTCTGAATAACAATATAAAACATACGATTGGATATTTGATTTTAGTTATATGCTAAATAGAAATAGCTAAGTACTATTCTCAAATATTTGAACGGCAAAAACTTTCATTCTATTGTATATTGTACGTAAAATTGAATTGTTTGGGTATATATTTTCTATTCTTGGCTGGTTGACATTTCCTGATAGATTGATTTGAAACGTATTGAAGTGATTTTGTAATTTGGACAGTGGTTTTAATAGAAAAAGTTAAATAATATATTGTCAGTAAAATATTATTGGTGTGTCTAATTGATTCATCTATGATTAAGTTAGTTGATAATTCATGATCGATTTATTCATTACATACTGAAACAATTAAATTGGAGCTTTAAATTACTTTTCTCTTGGTACTGTTCAGTCTCTCGATATTCGGAAAAAATTGGAGAAAAGGCAGTAAAACTGGTAAATATTCAAATTTGTTATTAAAGAGTTATTGAAACTCATCAAAAAATTGATAATAGTTAAGAATCCTAGTATTTTTTGAAAATTAATATATTATAATGGAACTTTAAGTAAACTTTTCTCTGTGGTTGTGTTTACTATTCACTCGTTACTTAAGACGTCGGTATAGACAGTGGCGGATACAGGGGGGGGGGGGGCATGGGGCCCGGGCCCCCCCTAAAATCTGTAAATTGGGTTAAATATTAGGCTTTTGAGTTAAAAATGGCGCCCTAAAAGGCATATTTGGCATTATTTTTTATTTGCCCCCCCCTAAAATAAATTTCTGTATCCGCCCCTGGGTATAGATAGAGAGAAAAGCTGGATAAAAGGCGGTCAAATTGGTGAAGACTCAATATAATTCCTGATTTCTTATTAACGACTTAATGATATGGGTTGAAAAATTGATAACAGTTATAGTCTTGGTATTTTTTGAAAATTGGTGCATAGAATGGAGCTTTAAATTACTTTTCTCTGTTGTATTGTTTACTCTTCACTCGTTACCAAGACGCCGGTATAGATATTGGGAAAAACGAGGACTCAATATAATATAATTCCCGATTTCTTATTAAAGAGTTATGCAACTGATTCAAAAATGGTTAATAGTTAAAGTCCTTGTAATTTTTGGAAAATGGGAGCATAGAATGGAACTTTAAATTACTTTTCTCTGTGGTACTGTTTACTCTTCACTTGCTACTAAGACGCCGGTATAGATATTGGGAAAAGCTGGAGAGAAGACAGTAAAATTGATGAAGACTCAATGTACTTGCTGATTTCTTATTAACGAGTTATTGCAACTAGTTCAAAAATGGTTAATAGTCAAATTCCTTGTAATTTTTAGAAAATTGGAACTTTAAATCCATCATGGTACTGCTTACTTCTCATTCATTAGTAAGATGCAAATACTTGGAAAAAATTGGGCAAAATTCAGCATCGATTTATTGAAACTGGTCCCAAATCGATAATAGTTAAAAGTCCATTGGCATTTTTTTGAAAACTCGAGATATATAATGGAACACTTAACAACAGCCTTCTTTGGTACTGATCACTGTTCACTAAAATGAGACGCCGCGCCGGTATAGATACGAGAAAGAAAATAGCGGAGAAGGCAGTAAAAGTGGTAAAGACTCACTGTAATTGCTAATTTCATCGGTGGTTCCGTTGACGGTACCATCCGGAAGGATCTGCAGGTGGCGGTTTTTGATGAACATTTGGACCTGCCTGGCGGTGCCCGTCACGTGTGACAGGTTGGCGCTCCGCTCACTGCGGGCGGCCGGGTCCTCCTCGGGGGCGGCTGCTGGGGGTGAGTCTTGATCGTCGGCGTCCGGCCGGGGGCGGGGGGCGGCGCTCACGGAACCAACGTAAGCGGCGGCTAGCAGTAGGCCCAGGAATAGCGCCTTCACCATGACTGGGACATAGTGTCGTCGGCACCGTCACTGTCGCTCACTATCGCGGTCCATGACGAGCGCCCGAGCGCGGCTCGGCGGTTGAATGGCGGCGTGTCTCGCTGTGGCAAACGCTGGCAACGCACTGCAGCGGCGACATGGACACCGCGACCGCGAGATACGCGCGGACTACCCATCCGATCCGAGCCTCAGGAGGAGGAAGGGTCACCAGGCACCACCAGCAGCACCGGCTCTGATAACAGGGGTCCCCAGAAGCCTTCACTGCCGCACACCTACCCCCAGCGCGCCATTCCTCACGCATCTCAACCAGCCCTCCTCACTTATCACTGTGTTGCAACAACTCAATTCTCATACAGGACTGTCATTCTTTTTTTTATTTAAAATTGGTTAATTTTTCAACATTTGCAACTTAATATACCCAGAAATAAGTATAAGTATTTTAAATTTTTTTTTTGAAAATTTGGAATTTTTTGAAAAAAAATTGAAATTTTTTTAGTTTTAAGTTAAAAAACATAATTTCTTGCTAATATGGCAACATAGGTAGTAGATTAAATTTACATGAAAGAAAGTCCAGAAAAGATCCAGTGGTTCTCAAAATTTAAGCAAAAAGGCATTTTTTGTTTAAATTTTTAAAGGAAAATAATTACATGAAAAACGGTAAAGAGAAAAAATATTTCTTTTGACCAGATCTATTACCTCTTAAAATACTTGCACTTATTTCTGGGACACCCTGTATAATAATCAAGACACCCATTTTTATAAATCTAATACAAGTTGAGTCTCTCTCTTAGATAAGTGCAAATATTATCAGGGTTGGTAGATCTCCATAAAACAATCATATTTTCTCTTCACCGTTTTTCAAATAAATCCAAAATAACGGAGTTATTTTACTTTGAAAATTTTCAAAAAAAAAATTATTTAATTTTTCTTGTAAATTTAATCTACTACCTATGTTGCCATATTATTAACAACTTAAGATTTTTTTAGATAAAAACTAAAAAAATTTCCAAAAAATGTTTCTAAAAAATCCAAATTTTCAAAAAAAATTTTCGCGAAAAAAAAACTCATAATCGTGTTTCTGGGGTCGAAATATACTACCTCTAAAAATATTTGCACTTATTTAAGACTCACCCTGTAGTAGGATTAATAAAAGTAGTCTAAATTGTTTTTTGTACTGAACTTAGAACATACTATAGGTGACTACGTGCAAAAAACACGTATATGACACTGAAGGTTCAATATAATTATTCATTGCAATTTTTTTCAAAAAGTTACATTATTTTACATTCAGATGCAAAAAAAACAACGAAAAAATGTTTGGCATAGTTTAAAATGTTATATTTTTTTTTTTAATTTTTAGCTTGAAAAAAAAATCGTGAAAATTGAACTTAAATTAAAAAAAATATAACACTTGACGAAAAAATTCTCCGTTGCGATTTTTTATCTAAGTATACACCATTTTAACGCGAAAATCTCAAACTTCTTTTTAAATTAGAACTTATCTTATGAACTTTGCTGAAGAAGTATAAATCTCTTCCACACCCGGGCAAAAGTTTAGAGAATTATTTCCCGTCAATTGTAAATTTTGCCAGGCCATCGCTATTTTACAACTCTCAGTAAGTTGGTTAGCAGTTCGTTTCAAAAGTTTTGTAACTTTCTAACTCTCTAAGTGAAAAATATTTCATTTAATAGTTGCAATCATTTCGACGTTTATCAAGATTAAACAGCAAATCAGGTTAATAAGCGTGTAACTATATAATAGCGATTATTTTATGCTTATTTACAGTCAATGTCTTTCATAGAAAATTGCGCGTTTGTGGGAAAAATATTCCACTGGGTGTAGTAATAAAATTAGGATTTAGTTTTTGTTTTTATACCTGCACCTCACCTGGAGACAGAAAATAAAAATCTGTTCTCGTTTTTACGGATTAAAGTTACTATTTCGTATTTGCCACAAAACCACAATTTACTCAAACCCAGCTGGCTCAATGTTTTACATTACTTTTTTATTAATTTGTACTGTTTATGAATGTTATATAAATTATAAACTTGAACATGTATATTTTTAGTTATACAGGGTGAGTCTGAAATAAGTGGAAATATTTTCAGGGATAAAAGAAACATATTTTCTCTTTACCGTTTTTCAAATAAATCCAAAATATCCGAGTTATTTTACTTTGAAAATTTCCAAAAAAAAGGATTTTTTGCTAAAATTTTAAGAATCAGCACTGGAACTTTTCTGGATTTTCTTTCTTGCAAATTTAATCTACTACCTACCTATGTGGCCATATTATCAAGAAATTATGTTTTTTAACTAAAAAAATTCCCCAAAAATGTTTTCAAAAAATTCCAAGTTTTTATTTTTTTTTCTCAAAAAAACCCTCATAATCGCGTTTCTGGGGTAGAAATATACTACCCCTAAAATATTTGCACTTATTTAAGACTTTACTCTGTAGCTCTAGGCAAATTTTTATCCATCGTGAAAAATCGTTCAGAAACAAGGGTTGCAAAAACCATTTTTTCAGAAAAACAAAGCACTTATGCTTTTTAATGGATACATATTCTAAATCAACATAATATTTTCTACAAATACTGAGATTTTTTTAATTTTGTGAGTACTGCTACTATTTTTTCTAAGAGCTCTGAAAACGAGTAAAAAATAGCTAAAAACGACAACGTGATTCCTACCATGCACTTTAACCAATACTCTACGTGATGAAAGTACTATTAAACTTAGTTTTTCCCAGTGTAAATTTTCCTCTCGCGTACTATTGCGGTCTTTTTCTTCTTAATAATTTAAATGTTTATTAATAATCCTATAAAGGTGATGTGTTTTATCACCGACCATTTGCAATAACAAACTCAAATGTTGATTCAAGTGAGATTATAATTAGCCCTGTTGAAAATAATATCCTGCGAAGAAAAATGTATGCATTCTTTTATTTTTTAACTAATTTTAATCCATTATACATGTATAGCAATAGGATGGATACCGGGTGCGTCTCAAAAGTGGCTCACCCTATAACTCTTTTATTTTTTCAGATAAAAAAAACGAGATTTGGTATATTAGTATATGACATAAATTAGGATTGATTGACGTATTCAATTGTTTTTGATCACTTCCTGTTTCAACGGAAATGACTACAACTTTTGATTTTCAAATTGTACCCCGGTATATTTTTACTTTATTCGATGGAAAATGACACTCTGAATAGAATGAAATTTCATATGACAAAGTTTGACATTTTTGCTTAAAAACAAATCGTATTTTAAATTTCAATCTAGAGTGCCATGGCTGTGTTAAAAATACTAATTTTTAATCAAGAAGCCTTGGAAAAATAGATACATATCTCATTTTTTTCAAATGGAACAAGAGTGGCTCATTAGCATATATGGAAAAAGTATTTTATGAATAACTAGCGTGTACCAGCGACTTCGTTCGCGTCGAATTAATCATTTGTAATGGTGATCATAAAGCAAAGCAAATTTCCATTAACATACAAACTGGATTAAATTTTCTCACATTTATGTCAGCATGAGAAAAAATAATATGGCGATATTATTATATAACTTGGTAATATTTGAGGGGTAGTTTCATCTCGTTGGAATTTGACTTTCGAAAAATCCGTTTGCCAAAAATAAGCTTTTTACATCAAGCAGTTTAAGCAGAATCGTGGTTAAGAAATTACCCAACTTTTTGGAACACCCTGTATGATTTTTTAAAAAAATTCAAAATATGTAAAAAAAACAAATAAATTATGCTTGTCCAAGCGTTTTCCCGAAAGACCAACCGTTTTTTTAAATAACAAATATTGTAATATTTGAGGGGCGTTTTTACCCTCTTGGAATTTGAGATTCGAGAAACCCCTCCTTATCGAACCTCTACACCCCACAGTCAATACATTTGACAAAAATCAGTTTTAAACGTCAAGCAGTTTAAGCAGAATCGTGATTACTCAATGGTCATATTTTATGAAACACCCTGTATTAATTTATAAAAAATCTTAAAATATGTAAAACAACAAAATAAAATATACGTGTTTAAGAGTTTTTCCGAAAAACTCACCGGTTTTTAAATAAAAAATATTTTAATATTTGAGGGATAGTTTCACCCCCTTAGAATTCGGGTTTCGAAAAATCCCTTCTTATCGAACCTCTACACCCTAAAGTCAATCTGTTTTCCAAAAATGAGCTTTTTACGTCAAGCGCTTTAAGCAGGATCGTGATTAATCAATGACCAGATTTTTCGAAACACCCTGTATACGTTTTTAAAAAATCTTAAAATATGTAAAAAAACAAAACAAAATACACGTGTTTAAGCGTTTTTTCGGAAACTTGACCGTTTTTTAAATAAAAAGTTGACATATATGTCATTCTATTCAAAGTGTCATTTTCTCTGGAATAAATTAAAAAAATACCGAGGTTGTCGTTTAAAAATCAAAAGCTGTAGTCATTTCCGGTGAAATAAGAAGTGACCAAAAACAATTGAGTACGTCAATCAATCCTAATAATTTATGTTATATACTAACATACCAAATCTCGTTCCGTTATATGAAAAAATAGAAAAGTTATAGATATGAGCCATTTTTGAGACGGACCCGGTATATATGCAGTATAGCGTATTTTAGTATCTACATATATAAAATGCAATGTTTATCTGTGTACTGAAGTAACGACTTGCTCTAGAAAGTTGCTTTTTTTACTGAAAGATAGCTAATTGGCTCTTCTAAAAACTGTCGTCGCCGGATTTTTTGTTTCTCATTTAATTAAAAAAAAATAAAAAGTATTTTTTTCTGATGTCGTGGTGGATGCGCCAGGCTTCAACTAGTAATTAAATAACAATCTCACAAAAAGAAGATTACTAAATTATATACTTCTGTACAGTCCTTAGTTATAATAAAGCATACTATACACCGATATCCTAATAATATATCAATGCATTTAGCATTGTGCATTTGTGCGACTAGCAGATCGTTTTCTATTCATAGTAGCCATGCAAAACTGGCACAGATCGTGACAAAAACAAATTTGAACAGAGCTTTTCCAGACGCGTTTGTCCGCTTTATACTTTCGGCTTGCTTTTTCTTGTAGCCCGTTAGGTTGCCCACTTATCATTTCATAAACACGGCCTCTATCGAAATAATTAAAGTAATTAATAAGGAAATATATAATCTTTGTCCCATTTAAATTTGAATCTATTTGTGTAAGAAAA